TCCATTTGTTCATTGCTCGACTTGACTTCCTTTGCTCTTATTTTGTTAAACATTTCTTTTGCATTTCTGTACAAAAACACTGATGTATATATATTTTTTCTGAGTATCTTGGTTAGGTTTTGGCACCAGGGTTATGAGATAATCTTTCAAATATATTTTATTCAAATTTAACTGCATATATCTTAAATGTAGATACAGACGGAAAGGAGAAAGGGCAGTCATGTCTCAGTGTTATTAGAATGAAAAGATGTTTTTGCCATTGGGAAAACTGCTCTGATCTGATGGAGGGAAGAGAAGGATAAAGCTGAACGAGGAGGAACAGTGGGAATGAGGAGCTCAGAGCTGGTGAGGCACAGTCAGTGGTTTTGGGGCTCCTCACTCTCCCATTTATGATGCCTGACCTTGAATTTCACTGTCTCCTCAAAATATTTCTTATTAAAGTTTGGTTTGGTTGGACACGTCTTTGCAGCAATGTGTAAGAAAAAAAAAGTTTGGTTTTTACGTTACAATCAAAGTCGTCAGGAAACAGATTTCTTTCAAAAATTAAATCTGGAAATCAGTTGAAACAGGCCTATCAAATACTGTCTATAAAAAGCATTTTAAAGGTGGCTGGAACAGAGCTGCTCCATTTAGCACCGATGCATATCGAGGGCCTGCCATGCCTGTGCAGTGCTGGCTGCTGGCTGGGGCCTGGGGGCAGTGGCCAAGAGAGCTTTGCTTCTCAGGAGCCTGGAGCCCAGCAGGACACGAGGGAGGAGGCCCAGCCCCGGCAGGACTGGGAGGGCAGGCATGGAGGCAGAGTGGTGCCGGAGGTGAGATGCAATGCAGCCAGCTGCATGGTAGAGGTAAGCAGGAGCGGCAGGATGCCTCGATGGACAGTTGAGCCAACCAAGAACCTGACAAGCTGGAGAAGCCCAAGGGATCACCACCATCTTCCAGGCCAGATGTGCCTGCCCTCCCGACATCCCACACTGTGGGCTTTCAAAGCTCAGGCGGTTGAACACAGACACCACAGCAAACCACTCTGCAGTTGCTAAGGTAACCACACTCTAACGTAAGTAGCAGAGTGAAATTAATCAGGGCCTGTAACTTGGGTAACTTCCTCATGCAGCAGCATAGTCTTTCTGTGGTGACAACGTGGGCAAGTTCTGTGCTCTCATCCGATTTTTGAGTGTGAAAAAAAATCACCAGGGCAATGTCACTGAGTACACTGAGTTTGAATTGGGGTGGCCAAGTCCATGCAGGCAGTCAAGCCCTTGGATGGCGGGCAGGGGCCATTCATTCTGGGGATCAAGGGCACCTCTGGAGAAGGGCAGATTTTGTCATCTGTGCTTGGCCTTCCTTCTGTTTCTAAATCTCGATCCCATCTTCAAATGTGCAAGCTAGTAGATTACGAGGCACTTCCCAGTCTGACCCAAATCCCACTGACTGCACTGCCTTCAAATCAGAGCCATGAAGTGAAATGTGATTACGGCATTTCTCCTTCATTATCTTCTCCACTAGAAGGCAAACCCCACTGGGGCAGGGCTTCACGGCTACATCCCCAGACCCCAGAATAGTGCCTGGTCCATGGCAGACTCGCAAGGGCCTGTTGGAGGAACAAGTGAATCCACTGGCGTATAAAATGGCAGTTGTTGAATTTCATAGATCGAGAGTCCCTTTGAAAGCACCCAGTTCAATCCCTGGATACGGCTGAGAGCACAAGAGACATGGAGTCAAAAAGCCGGATTCAAGCCCTTGCCATGACGAGGTCTATAGGCTTGGGCGAGTTTTCTATCCCAGCCTCTGTTTCCCTGTTGTAAAGTGGATGTAACAGGCCTGGCCTCACAGGTTTCTGGAGGACTAAGCGAGGAAGCACATCAAAGTGCTGCTGAGGTTCTGTGCGGATGGAGGCGGCAGTTCGGATTGGAATGTGGAGAGCAAGGCTCTGTCCACGAAAACCATGTGGTGGATCTGGCCCTGTGGCCTGTGAAGAGGGGGCTTTCTGGGGCTCAGATGTGACTCTTTTTGGTATTGAAAACTATTACAAAGGGATTAGAATTGCATTTTTAAAACCTGTTCAACAATAGAGGTTTTAATATCAGCTACTTAGGAGGGAAAGAAAACAATTTTTGGGGGTGTGCCATTTAACTTATGCTAATAAGTAGGAAAGAACGTATGTTAACTCTTTCAGGATACAAGCCCAAAAGTCAACAGAAATTTGAATTTTTTCCTCCTATTTTCATGCTGAAATTTAATTCATCATGAATTTGCTTTCAAGGGTGAAATTTTCTTTTCTCAACTTTTACATGACTTTGTAATAAGAGCAGTCATATGGGCTCATCAAAAATAAAAGACGGATGATGGAGGAGAGATGTTCAGTGTAAATATTTAGTACGGGGGGCTGGCGGCTTTTAAATTTGCATCTTGAGCTGAGTGTATCTGCTGATTTCCCATCTGCTAATATTTTCCCATCTGCTAAATACCTGCTACCAGGGGAAGAGGACGTCTCTGTCTTTCTGGCCCTGCTTAACCTCCATGTCCCCTTCACCTGAGCTTGGAAACAACGCCACTGTTCAGCAGAGCACTGGCAGACACGCTCTGGCTCTGACCAGTGGTGACAGTGCTGAGCCCAGGAGCACCGTCCCAGAAGCTCAGTTAACCCAGGGGGCTCGCCTTCCTCCAAAGGCCACCCTGGGGTCTCTTTCTGCCTCCACGGAGCTGGAAACCCAGGAAACAGCAGCTCTCCGGGGACCCAAGGCCAGCACTAGAGAAAAGGGTCTCTTGGTCTGTCTGTCTTTCAAACATCCACTGCAAACAAGACAGCCCAAATACTGCACTTAGTACTCTGCAGACTTTTGGGTACAGCAACTAAGATGTGGTAGGCAGTAGGAAGCCAGAAGGGAGGATGGGCCAGGCCTCCTTGCTTCTGCAGTCACCCGTGGAAGGTCCTTGTGCTCAGGGAGGACTTGGCATTGGTGCCCAGGAAAGCACTGGAGCCTCGTCCCCTGGCACATTGGCCCCTTCCCTGGTCTGCACCATCTCCCAGAGCAGGTTGGGAGGTTGCATGGTTGATGTCAGCACTGGGCCCCCAGCCCAGGGTCCTTCACATGCTCACTGTGGCTCTGAATGGAGGCCGTGTGCAAGTTACTGAACTCATGCAGCCTCTGCTTGCAATTTCCACCATCATGAGCTGCTCCTTTTTCAATTTAAACCCCAAGTAGGGCTAAAGAGCTCCTAGCCACTTCCTTCTGGAGGCTCCGGCGATGGCTGGCCAGGACCACGGCTCTGCTGCGGCCACGGGAATGCCTGCTCTCCAGTGTCCCAATGAGCCTACAGGCAGACCCCAGGAACAAAGAATGAAATGGCCCCAAAGAGCAAGAGTTACATTTCATGCTTAAAATCAAGGCCATCACATGAGGAGACAACCACGTGGACACTTGATTGATGGTGGCAAATAATTATTCTCAGTGTTGCTGTGAGCTTTGCCTTCCTAGAAAGCCAGAGATGAATAAAATATATGACAGCACATCAAAATATAGTGCAAGGACAACATATACAAACAGTACATTAAGCATTATGGAAGACAATAAACAGAGCTGGAAAACACATCCCCGTTAGCGCTGGGCCCGGAGTCCGGGTGCACCTGTGCAAATGGGAAGCTGCGCCGCAGACGCCTCCATGTGGCCCCTTCGATCCCGGGAATATTTCATTAGTGGGAAAATATGAGCAGATGAATTTCTCCTGCCACCTCCTTCCTGAAGGACAGGGTCCTGGGTGCATAGCGCAGCCGCGACTGCTCCCCTCTGTCGCTGGGCCCGGGCTTCCCTCCACGAGCAGAGTGCAGTGTCAACAGAAATGCTACAGTGACATTTCTCTCTCTCTCAATTACTTGTAGGCTTTTCACTGCCTGTATAAAATACATATTGTGCTCCAGCGAGATCCATTGTTCCGAGGTCAGCGGGAACTCATTGTCCTTTTCGGCTTCAGAACAAGACAATACTGACATCTGTAAGATTTGCTGTAAATAATCCAAGTGGCATAGGTACCAGGTGAGGGGCAGGAGAGGGTAAAAAAGAGAGGAGGAGGGAAGGAAAAGAGGAAGGAAGAGGGAGGGAGTGAGGTGGGGAGAAGGAGAGAGGGGAGAGGGAGGCAGAAAGGTATTGAGAGATTTACTGAATGCTCAATCGTTCCGCATCCTGAATTTGTCTGGGGAAGGCTTCACTGAATTGTTTGCATCATTTCAGGGGAAAATAAATATTTGGCAAATACCTACGGTACAGCATCAGCCTGGATGCCCATTGCAGATAGCCTTTGCTCATGGGGCAGGATTCATCCTGCAGAGCATTGCACCAGAGAGCCAGCCCTAGGTGCAAGGGCTGTGCCCAGCCCTCCCGAAGAGCCGCACATGTGCAGCTCCGGTGCATGGCCTCGAATTCTAATTGGGATGGCAGAAGTCTATGATTCTGATTAAGTGCAATGGAGTCATTTACTTGACAGTTCAAATCAATAAGTTAAAATGGGGTGGGGGTGGGGGACCAACCCACACCGTCAGACTGGAGAAGCAGAAAGGCCTACTGGGCGCCGCTTGGCCCCGGACCGCCTGCCTTTCAAGTCGGTGTGTGAGGAAATCAAAAGCGGATTTGACAACCAGTCAGGGAGAAGCTCTTCTCCGAAGGATAGATTTTTCATGGAAAAGAAAATTTGGCGACAGGCAGGGGACTGTGCCTGGGATGACAAATGAGGGAGAGAAATTCTAATGGAGACTCCGCGCAGGCAGAAGCGAGGCTCCTGGAAGCGCACTTGTCTTTTTCTGTACCTGTGTAAGAGGCAGAGGCTGTGCATACGTGTGTGTGCGTGCATGTGTCGGAGGGAGAGATGGAGCGTGTGTGTGTGTGAATGTGTAACAGGCTGAGACCAAGTGTGTGTGCATGTGTGTGCAAGAGGCAGAGCCAGGCGTGTGTGTGTGAGTGTGCATGTGTTGTTTCGGAGGGACACACAGTGTGTGCACCTGTGTGCCTGTTCCAACACACTTCCCCATGCCTGGTTTGGGACCTTGTCTGGGGGTGGATGGAGAGAGAGCTGCTCATGAACTTGGCCTCTGGCACGAACAGGGCTGCTTCTCTGCATGGGAGGTGATCGCCACACTTCCTCAGTCTTAGGCAGCACTGATTTTGAGGCTGGCCTGGCCATAAATTCATTTCCACTCAGGACTTTTACCCTTAAAGACAAAATCTCTTCAGCCTGTACCTTTTCCCTTCGGTCACATCCAGAAAAGTGAGCATGTGATTTCAATTTGAAATTAAAAGTCATGTCTGAATAACAGAACTGCATTCTCATTTCCTAATACCCTGTTTTTTACTACTTTGCATTCAACTGTGAAAAGTCTTTTAAAACTCGGAACAGCAGTAAAACTTGAATGAATTTTTGACCCATTATTGCATAGCGGGTGCGCCTTCCAAGTTGGAGAGACTGCCAAGTTCTCACCACCTAATATTTCCACTTTAATTGTGCCACTTGAGAAATTTACGTGCCTCAAAATATGGCATGAATCTTACGCTTATTGCAGTATCATTAGCAGCAACATTTAAGCAACATCTGTGTGCCATAGAACTAATTGAAGTAGCAGAAGTGGCAGCTGTAAATCCACAGGAAGATGGCAGTTTGTACCCAGCACTGCTGAGCTAGCTCCTAACTGTCAGCCTGTTCTTGCAATCTGCTCTCTAGTGCTGCGGTACAGGCACACAGTGTCCAAAAAAATACAGCGAGTAGGCTAATGATCCTATTAACCACTTTGCTGCACCAATTTGGCTGTTTTTCCAGTTTCCTTGTTGAATTTCATTATAAATTTCGCCATTCCTGTAAAAAGTCCAGTATGAGACGTGTCTGACTTTAAACGACTTACCTGAGCCGAGAAACGCTGGTCTGGCCAGGCCGACCCGAGGATTTGTTGTTGCTGTTGGTATTTAATAATTCTGCCCACCACACCCACGCTCCTTTCAATTGCTTAAACATTTTTATCACACACATTTCTGTAAAAAAAAAAAAAAAAAAAAAAAAAAAACTTTTAAATCTCTTGTAATGTTGATATTTAAAGCAATGGCATTTTCTTCCCATGGACATAACATTTTCAATAATCAATACAAGATGGCAACCATAATTTATTATTGGTGGGGAGTGGAGGGAGAGGGTAGGGTCGGTGAGGATCTCGCAGAGTTTGCAAAGGTATGGATGTGGTCAGATCTGAGAGCCTGTGGGATCCCTCCACTACACAGGGGTTTGGACCCAAATGCATTGACTGTTTTTCTTCAATGTGAAGAAAAATAATACTAATTCTCCCACACAGAGTGCAGGCTAAGTAGGGGGTGAGGAATAACCCCGGTGCCTCTTCTTGCAGAGACACAAGGACTCAGGGCTGCTTTCCTTCCGAATACTCCTCCATTAAGCACAACTGGAAAAAATACCTCCAACACCTCCTAGAAAACCCAGCCCCATTTTGGTTTTAACTCTGTTTTTGCTTGTGTTTGTCTTGGCAGGGGATGGATGTTTCTCCCTTGGTGCCCGGCCCTCACACAATGATGTAACTGGTATCTTTCGAAGCACTCAAGAGTGCTGGAAATACACAAAAGAAGACCTTCTTCAATATATGTTGACTGGTGTGTTTGCCAACAACCCAACTTCATTAGAAAATTGGCACGTCCACCCAGCTGCCATGTGACACGCCGTTAACTCCGGACATTTGTTGTCTTAATGCTCAAGTACTCAGGGACTCAACTGATAAGGGAGAAAGTGTTTGGAATCCACTGAACCCCACGCCTAGGGTGGCTGCCACCTCACGGTATTGAAAATCAATAGCCACATGACTGCTGAAAGGTCGGAGGTCTCCAGAATTAACTTCCTAGTACTAAATTACTATCCCTTGTTTCTTGGTTTATTTTCTAACAATAATACATTTTAAGGGCGTCTGGTTAAAAACCACTTATGAAACACACAACGAAAAAGATGGAATCGCTGGTGAACAGCTGCCAGTTCCTCCCCCCAGCCCAGGGAACATCAGGATGAACGATGCTGACAGCTCCCCCAGCCTGCAGCCCAAGTTCTTTCTTCAAAAAAATCTCCTTCCTTTTCGGTGGTGGCGTTTTAATTTTTATGGAAAAGGATAAGCTGGTTTGGAAATGATCCATCTCTGACTTACCAAATAAAGCTTACTAATAAATTGAGCACCACCCCTACTCTGGGATGCTGCCTACAAATGCCACGTTCACAGAAGGTTCACTTGGGAGAGGGCATGCTTGTGGCATTTCACTGTGGCTCAGAAAGAAGCTCCCATGAGTAAACGTGTAGCATCGTTTAATTAAAAAAAATTTTTTTTTTGAATTTCAATAGCTTTTGGGGTACAAAAGGGTTTTGGTTTCATGGATGAATGACAGAGTGGTGAATTCTGAGTTCTTAGTGCACCCATCACTTGAGTGCTACACATTGCACCTAATGTGTCATTTTTTTAACCCCAGCCCCCATCTCCCCTCCCCCTTCTGAGTGTCTGAAGTCCATTATATCACTCTGTATGCCTTTGCGTATTCAGAGCTTAGCTCCCACTTATAAGTAAGAATGTACGGTTTTTAGTTTTCCACTCCTGTGTCACTTTGCTTAGAATAATGGCTTCCAGCTCCATCCGAGTTGCTGCAAATGACATTACATCATTCCTGTTAACGGCTCAGTAGTATTCCATGGTGTAGATGTGCCACGTTTTCTTTATCCACTTATTGGTCAATGGGCACTCAGGTCGGTTCCACATCTTTGCAATTGTGAACTGCGCTGCTATAATCATACGTGTGCATGTGTCTCTTTCATATGACTTCTTTTCCTTTGGGTAGATACCCAGTAGTGGGACTGCTGCATCAAACGGTAGATCCACTTTTAGTTCTTCAGGGAATCTCCACACTGTTTTCCATAGCGGCTGTACTAATCTACCTTCCCACAGGCAGTGCATAAGTAGTCCTTTCTCTCCATGTCAACATCTTTTTAATTTTTTTTTTAACTTTTAAATAATGACCATTCTTGCAGGGGCCAGGTGGTATCTTGCTGTGGTTTTAATGTGCACTTCTCTGATGATTAGTGAAGTTGAGCATTTTTTCATGTTTTTTTGGCCATTTGTATATCTTCTTTTGAGAAATGTCTATTCATGTCCTTTGCCCACTTTTAAATCAGATTGTTTTTCTCTTGGTGATTTGTTGGAGTTGCTTGTAGATTCTGGATACTAGTCGTTTGTTGGATGCATAATTTGGAAATGTGTTCTCACATTCTGTGGCTTGTTTGTTTACCCTGCTGCTGATTTCTTTTGTGAAGCATCATTTTGTTTGGAGGTAATTTTGGTATGAAATTCTTAAGCATGAATGTCCCCCACTGCCCTTTTTAGAACACGTGCTCTCATCTTTATACTCACAAACATTGAGGCGGTCCATAACAGATATGTAGTTTCCATCTGTTGATAGCATACTAGAAAACAAAACTGATAAATAAAAACTTAGTTTGTTAAAAATAACAAAGCACCATTAACAAGCAGCACATATAATTTTAAAAACTGTATTTTCCACAGCAAAATAAATCAGTAGGAAGAGTGGCATGGTTTTCTATGCATGCAAGTCTTACTACCTGCCTTAATATGGGATGGCCAAGTTCCCATCTTCATACAAATGGCTGCAACGTGTCCTTTTGGTTGATGCAGAAGAGAACCATTTGGCCTCACATGTGTGGACATGTAGTTGGAAAAGGGGTATTTTAGTACCTTTCTGGGAAATGGTGTCTATTCCTCTTTGATTCTACACCCAGCCTTAACCAGTGGGAGTTTCTTGCAGTCTAGCTTCAGCGTGGAGTCTGAAGGCGCATCGGCGCACCTGTGTGTCCTGGAGCCCCTTGGCTGCATCCTGCACTGCAAAAGTGTCTTTACTTGCATGTGATTTGGTCACATTATGTGCTGGTCATTTGGAAAAATGGGTTCACTGTCATGTAGGTCTTCCAAATGTTGACACATTTCATTGCATGACACATATTTTTAAAAACTGCATTTGCTGGTATCACCACCTATCCCAGTAGAAAAGTCTTCAAGGACAACCAGCCCTCCACACCCACAGGGTCTGCATCCGAGGACTTAACCAACCTGGGATCAAAAAGGCATTATTGGAGGGCGGTGGAGCCCACACTTCCAACAGGAAGGGCCAGCTTCCTGTCTGTGGGTTCCATAGGGTTGAACTGCGGGCCTTAGCAACATGGGACTTAGCAACTGTGGATTCTGGTACCTTCCAGGGATTCTGGGATCAATCCCCTGTGAATACTGAGGGATGACTGTATTAGGAAGTTGTAAAACTCCACATAATGGCAGTACAGTTTTTCAAAAGTCCTGATTTTTGTTCAAGAACACACGTTTTTATCATTGACAACAAATTCTGTCAGCTGTTCTTGAAGGTACCAGTTCACTTATTCTCTTTTTTTTTTTGAGATGGAGTCTTGCTCTGTAGATCAGGCTGGAGTGCAATGGCACGATTTTGGCTCACTGGAACCTCCACCTCCTGGATTCCAGCAATTCTCCTGCCTCAGCCTCCTGAGTAGCTGGGATTACAGGCACCCGCCACCACGCCCGGCTGATTTCTGTATTTTTTGTAGAGGCAGGGTTTCATCATGCTGGCCAGGCTGGTCTGGAATTCCTGACCTCAGGTGTTCCACCCACTTCGGCCTCCCAAAGTGCTGGGATTACAAGCGTGAGCCACTGCATCCAGCCTTAACTCATTTCTGAGAAAGTCTCTAGCAAACGCCAGTCTCAGAAATTATCACACACCGGCTGGTCTTTTAAAGTGAAGTTTGCCAGAAAGTGTGGCCTTTGGAAGGGCTGGAGGCTCCTTCCCAGGCAGCAGTGACCCTCCACTGAACCTCTTCTTCCACAGGCTCTCCTGAGAATTTCCTCCAGGGCCTGAAGGTCTCTTTGGGGCATTGGGTAAGTGATGCTTCATAAGCTTTGCCCTCTGCACCAGGTCCATGCACGAAGCCTGTGTTGGGGTCTCTCTGATACACTGCACCCCCTCCTGCTCTGCTGCAGATCTGAATCCTCTTGGGGCAAAGCCTTGTTCCCCAAAACCCAGGCCCTGCAGATAGGGATCCCACAGCTAAGGCCCCTGTGAGGTGGGGCTGGACTTGTTCTTGCCACCTGCTGACACATCTGGTCCTGCACACAGGGAAGTGGATTCCAGAAGCAGTGCTTGCACCAGAGCAGCAGGCTCGCCGAGTGACAGGGTGCACCTGGGGCAGCTGCAGAGCTTCATGAGCTACTGGATCCACTCTTTGCCGACGAGGACCTGAGGCTCCTCTTGGGACAGGCGAGCCTGAGCTCTGCCCACTGCTCCTGGTCACCCTCTACCTCTGCACAGGGCATCCCAGGGCCTATGAGGGGATGTCCACAATGTTGGCAGAGTCTGGATCCTTCGCCAGCTGCAGCTCTGCTCAGCTGCTGAGACGGGAGGAACAACCTGTTGCCTAGAGTTGGCTGGAGAGGTCAGCATGCACCGCTGCTGAGTTACCCTCTGTGCCGAGCATCACCTGAAACCGGCACACTGCCGTCCTGGACGGTGGCCACAGGACCTGCTCACAGTTTTAAAAACTTGTGCAATATCTGACACAAAAAAGCAAGTATGTGTAAACTATACCTAAAATATATTCTGTAAAATGATTTGACTCCAGGGCACACATAACCCAATTCAAAACCAGATCAACCTCCTGCTTCTCTGACGGTCTGACCCTCACCTCTGCCCAGAGGGAACAGTTTCTGCTTTTATATCATTTCCTGGCCTTTTTAAAGGGCTTACCGTATATATGTGTATATGTATAATTGTGTGTGTGCATTTGTTTAAACGGATACATTTTCTTTAAGGCTTCTCTATGAGATTTATAAACGAGTCTTCCACCACAAGGAATCTCCTACAGCCCATCACACGTCTCAGCTTCCTTCATGCTACAGCTTACGGCTCTAATTGTTCATTTTCACAGCTGCATAGTAGTCCATCATGTGAACATGCCTCTCTGCAGTTATTCGTTTTTCTCCATAGAGATGTTTGGGTTGATTACAGCTTTTCATCAACAGCTGTGCTGTGGATGGCACACCTGCAGCCTGGCACCTGTGCACACGTGCAGAGCTTCTCCAGGGGAACGTGCTCGGGAGAGGAATGGCTGCTCAGACGGCAGGTGCATCTTCAGCTCCACAGGATGATACCAAGTGACCATCCAACACCCTCACACTCGCAGACCACCTCTCCTTTCCCGCATTTGACAGGCATTACCCTTTAGCTTCTTGGAACATTTAACCAGCGTGAGCTCTAAGCGTGCACGGGTGTCTGTAGGGGATCTTGGCTTGACTCTAGAATAAGGAAGGGGCGTCTTTCCCTAGTGGGATCAGCACAATGTTGGGGTGATGGCCTCAGGCTCTAGTCTAGACTTCTGGGTGAAAAGTGAGGTGATTCGGGGCAAAGCACTTACCTGTCCTAGGTGGGGGAGACGTGGTATCTGGCAGAATGCTGTGAGCGTTGGGGGTATCGGTGCATGTGGAGGTGCCTGATAAAGAGTAGACATGTTGGGTTTTGTTGGTGATGTTACCTGTTTCCTAAAACACCTGCTAAAGATGCCAGTGCCCAGGTGTAGTGACCAACATGTAGAGGGTGGCCTGATGAGACTGCGCCAAGGTGTTCAGTCTCAGAAAGGACTGATCCTCCCCCTGGGAGTCCTGGGCTGATCCTTCAGGCGTGGTGGCAGCAGGAAGAGCGTGAAAGACTGAAATGAACGGCTGCTAGGGGACCCTCCCTGGTGCTGGATGGCAAAGACTGAATGAGCCGCTCCAGAGGACGCCTCCCTGGTTCTGGACGGCACAGAGCTTCCCTCTTGGAACTAAGTCCTGGCCAGGCCGTGCCCAGCACCCTACTACCTGGCTTTTCACTTCTGTTGTGACTCACTTGTTTTCTGTACCATTTGAGTACAAATTCTGTTTTCTTTTTTCCTTCTTTGAAACAGAAGCCAAGCTGGAGAGCAGTAGTGCAACCTCAGCTCACGGCAACCTCCACCTCCTGGGTTTAAACGATTCTGCTACCTCAGCCCCCTGAGGAGCTGAGAACAGAGGCGCACATCACCATGCCTGGCTAATGCTTTGGATTTTTAGTAGTAATGGGGTTTCAACACGTTGGCCAGGCTGGTCTCAAAGTCCTGACCTCAGTTGATCCACCTGCCTCAGCCTCCCAAAGTGATGGGATCACAGGCATGAGCCACTGTGCCTGGCCCACAAATTCTTTTTTAAATAAATTAAAACAGTTCTTTTCAGAAATGCCTTTCTACAGCTAGTCGGAACCACATTCCTGCAAGGTTGGGCCCAAACGCTGGGCCCTGAGCGGCTCGATCTGCTCTGCCAACCGCAGCCCCCAGCCTCTGCCGGAAAGCTCACCTCCCTACGCCGACGCCCTGCAGACTCCCGGCCCCGCCGACCATCAGGCAGTTATTCTGGCCCGGGATGTGGCTCTGCTAACCGGCTGCCGCGCTTTTCCAGTTGCGAGGAGAGCTTCCAGGGGAGTTCTTCAGATAATCATCATCTTGATCTTAAATGTAAATATTGTCACCATGGTTTAAAGAGAGATTAATGATTTGCCGACAGCTCCATACATCCTTGGGAAGTGAACTCTTGATTGTCTATCTTACTTCTGATAATACTAGAGGAAAAGCACACCCTACAGGTAGCTGCAGGCACCGCCGGAGCTCGGAGGAGCGAGGCCAAGTCTCGTATTTGGATGTCCTTCCTGAGCGGCTCACCAGCTGTGGAGGAAGTCCTGTGATTCTCCTTCATGGAGGAAGACAGCAGTGAGTGCCATCCGCCAGGCTCGGTGCCAGGTGCCCCAAAATCCTGTCTTTACTTTTGGGAGGAGCTGTGAGGTGATGTCATTAGCTCCATTTCAGAGAAGAGAAAGTGGAGGGCAAAGCAGGTTTGCTGAGGCATGGGCAGTCACGGGCAGTGCCCAGAGCCAACCCCGGGACTGGCCACACTCGGCTCCGCTGACCTTAGCCACCACTAGTTGATGGAAGCCCGGATACTCCCAGGGGTAAGCTCCAGCCCTCAGGCCACCTCAGCACCTCCCTGTGGCTCCGACAGGCTCTGAGCCCATAGCCTCCCTCCCTGGGACCTGGCTGCCCCTGCCTCAAGGTCCTGGGTTTGCAAGGCCCCTGGCTAGTTCCCTTCTTGTTGTCCCCACGTGGCCTTCAGCCAGCAAAGCAGGGCAGGGCGTGTGGCCAGCAGCCCTGGGGCTTCAGGACACGTGTCTCTCTTATGGCGCCACCTCCAAGACCCATCCCTCCTGGATGCAGCCAGGCCCGAGGCTCTGCCAGGGACACTGGGTGAGTGGCAATGCCGGGAGGACCGGGAAATTACACTCCACATCTGAATTTCTTATATTTTCCAAGTGTTCTACACTAATTAGTTAGTTCTGTTAGCTCTAAGGATTAGTAGCTTCTCTAACAAGACACAGCGACATTAAGTGACTTACCTAATTATGTAAAACACGGGGATGCCAGACGAGAAGCCAAGCTTCCCTCGAGCCGGGCTCAGGCCTGCTCCGCCTGGCTGCTGTGTCCATCCGTCCTCTGTTCTCCAGGTCCTCAGGGTGCAGGAAACAGGCACTGCAGGCCTGGCCTTGGAGACCGCTCCACGTGGAGCGAGCCCACACTTGGGACCTGGGCCTGCTTACGGCCTGCCTCCTCAGCCGGGTCTGCAGGGCCTCTCAGATGCTTCCTGGTCCAAGGAGCTGACGTGAAAGTCAGCCTGGCCCAGGGCAGTAGGTGCTGGGCACTTGTGAAGACTCCATCACATGTGGCCAGGGGCTGGCCCCACTGTGTTGCCTGTGGCAGAGGTCAGAAGACCACCACGTCCTGCTGTCCCGTGACTGGTTACCGTCCGAAACATCACTAAGAACTGGCCGCACAACCCCTGTGCTCACGGCAAAGGGATCTGCCCTCTCCCAGCCTGGCCCTCCAGTCTCCTGGCCTCATCTTGCAGGGGCCACACTGCCCGGGCCCTCCTCTGCTCTTCCCTAGAGTCCAGGTGCATGTTTTACTAAAGATGCTCTCTATGTTCTGCCCAGCTGTAGCTGATGCAGTTGATTCCTGCCTCCTCCAGGAAGCCCCTCTTGATTTTCCAGTTCACCCCTTCCCCTCCTCTGAAGCCTCATAGCCCTGAAGTGATACTGCATTTATGTCAATGTGCCATCTGATGAGAGGCTGCCTGTGGCTTTCAGCATGACCTCACCTGGGGCTTGTGCTCAGCAGCCCTGCAATTGGAGGGGGAAAGCTGAGAAACGGCTGGTCAAGCACGTGACACCAATCACGTGGTCAGATGCGTGGGCCCACACTGTCTTCTCAGTCAGGGACCTTCCTCTTCACCCAGTAAATGCATTCTTTCATGATTACAAACATAATGCATTTCCACTGCAAAAATGGAGAATATAGAGTTAAACACACACAAAAAAACTGTGATTTCCTCGTGCTGAGATTATCACTGTAGCATCTTGCTCTGCAGACGGTCTTTTTAAAAAATGTTACAACACGGACATATATATATATATATGGTTTTAAAACAGAATCATGGATTATATTTTCAAAGTGATAACTATTTCTTCATTATAAAATAAATAGACATTTTTATGAGTTGAATAATACTGAAAAGCAACACCACACTCACACAGACACACTCACACAGACACACAATCAAAGCAATTCTCCCCAACTCACACACACACACAGGCCCGCACACCAAAGCAATTCTCCTCAACTCTTTCCATCAAGATGTGTTCCTGCAAAGAATTTGATGATCTCTCTTCTACAATTTTATATCTGTACAAACAATTAAAATACTTTGTTTTATAAAAAACGACACTGTTCTTACCTGATGTTTTCATATATGCCTTTCTCACTCAGCCATGAGTCATGACTACCTTCCTGTGTCAGTGAACACAGGTCTCCTCTACCATGTTTAAGAGCAGAATGGTCTGTGTCGCACAGACGTATTTACTGGGATATAAACAGCCAACCCCACACCCATGGACATTTATGCTGTTCCCCATCTGTTGCTGTCACTAGCGATGGCGCCATGTGTATCCCTGTAGCTACAGCCTTACATGCTCATGGAAATAGCTCTGTAGAATGGATTACTAAAAGTGGGATTGTTTGGTCAAACAGCATAGGCATTTACCATTTTAATAAAAACACTGCCTCACTTGCCTCCAAAACACACCAACACGACTACCAACAGCGGACGCCTGTCCCTTCTCTACCCCGTGGACAAAGAATTACACATCATTTGCATTTTTCACCCAGATCACAACAAAATGCTATATCCCGCTTTAATTTGTTATGCGACAATCCCCTGTGAGGGGGGCGGTCTCTTGGAGGTCACTCCAGGTGATCACTGTCAAGCTCAGTGGGTCCTTCTACTGTTCTTTCTAGAGGCTTCCAACTGCTGCTTACGTTTCCTTTTAACCTACAAACAAGCGCCCGTCTATATTCCTTGCTCATCTGTACTCTGGGTAGTTTGCGTTTTCCTTATTGATTTGCGGAAGCTTTTTATATATTATGGACACAATCTTTCTGTCTTACATGTTGCCAACGCTTTCTCCTAGTGTACCGTTTGTCTTCTGTTTCCAATAGGCTCATGAGGTTAGACAAGTCAATCTTTTCCTTTACGGCTTCTGAGTTCTTGCCGTATCCTCAGACGCTTCCTGCAAATGCAGAAACAGATGCATGTTTCTCATCTTTTCATCTGAAACAATAGCAACTAAAACACAATTTAACCAATGTTTAGAACCCTAAGGTTTCTGGAACTGTGCTATTTTCCAAACAGCTTGGCTGGTTGTCCTGACACCATGTATTAAACGACTTCTTTCCCCACCAAACCGAAAGGCCATATGATGATATCCTGAGAGTCCGTATACCCACGGCTGTTTCTGGATGGGCCATCTGGCTCCACTGATCTACTTATGTCTGCTGTTGCATCGGCCTGACACTGCCTTACTTACAGTGGCTTTAAGATTCATTTTGATGTCATTAGTGTTAAAAACGTGCCTTGCTGTTTCTAAGCAAAGACATGGCCCCAGTGACCGAGCTTAGCTGTGATGCTGTCATGGACATCAGAGGCAGGCCCAGCCAGTGGGGGACATGGGCTTTGGGAGTGCTTATTTGCTGCTGCTTTTTAAAAATGTGGCTCATAAATGCCCCTGGCATTTGTTGTCAGAGCCCCTTGAGTGTCCATGGCATAGGGCACAGTCTTGCAGGGTCACCACCTTGAGCTGTAACCGCAGTTACAGGTTTGTCAAAGACCCAGTTGTGATGTTACAAACCCATGCTGGGTGTATACCACAATCCTACAAACCTCCAGTATCAACAGCTTTCCACCCAAATTCCCCACCCTTCAGGGAAGGCTAGGCTGCTGAAGTCAGCGGCCAGGGCGTTACCTCTGTCATGCGAAATGACAGGCACATTGCAAGGGCAAGAGAAAGAACTTTCCATTAAAAGCCAAAGAAGACCCTGCAGAATGGACACCTGCCCGCCTTTCCTAGGTCAGGCAGCTGTGGCTTTTGGGAGCAAATACATCCCTGAGGGACCCACAGCTAGAAAGCAGAGACTGGAGCCTGGGCTTGCCTGATGTGAAATGTGACCTGAAGCCGCCACCACCACCTGAGCGCTCAGCATGTGCCAGGAAGCCAAGGAGCCGCCTTCAGCGACCTGGGCACAGCCTCCTGAGGGTGGCCGCTGCTGTCCCTGTTCCACAGGTGAGGTGGCTGCAGGAGCTCCTGGGGCTGCTGCTGGGACAAATTCCGCCCCCCTGGGGGGTTAACGCAGCAGCAACGTCTTCTCCTTCAGCTCTGGAGGCCAGAAGTTTGCAATCAAGGTGTTGGCGGGGCCAGACTCCTCCGAAGGCACCAGGGAGACACCTCCTTTCCCTCCAGTTGCTGCTGACTCCAGCTGGCGGCTGCGTCGCTCCCATCTCGGCCTCTGTTTCTGCATGGCTTTCTCCACTGTGTCTGTGTCATCTTTTCTCTCTTTTTTTGGAGATAGGGTCTTGCTCTGTCACACAGGCTGGGGTCAGTGGTGTGATCATATCTCACTGCAGCCTTGACCTCCTGGGCTCAAGTGACTCTCCTCCACCTTCAGCCTCCTGAGTGGCTGCGACTACATGTGTGTGCCACCTGCCTGGCTAATCTTTAATTTTTTTTTTTTTTTTTAAACAGACAAGGTCTTGCTAAGTTGCCCAGGCTGGTGTCATCTCCTGGCTTTAAGCCATCCTCCTGCCTTGGCATCCCACAGTATTAGGATCACACTCGTGAGCCACTGTACCTGGCCCTTTTCTGTCTATTAGCAAGGCTTTTGTCATTGGGTTTAGGACTCCCCTGGGATAATCCAGCATGATCTCATCCTGAGCTCCTTAACTTAATCGTATCTGCAAAGAGCCTTTTCCAAATAAGATCACATTCCCGGGGCCCAGGGATTTCATGTGGACTCTCTCTTTGAGGGCCCCTATTCGTTCAAGGCATGGAGAGGTTACACAGCTCACAGAAGACGCTGCCTGTAAGGCGGAGGAGCTGGACTCTGACCCTGAACGGAGCATGACTGCCCCATCCGCCATCCCCCACTGCCATGGGCCAAAGGTTCTCCACTTGCAGGGCTTCTGCAGAGGTAGGGCGCACACGTGGCACTGTCTTTCTGAGCACTGAAACCTGAAGGCCACGGTGGCTCCACTGCAGCCTGGGGGTCAGAACCTGCGTGACGGAAGTCCATGCCAGGCCGGAGGACCTGCTCAGGGAGTGGAGTTTCTGGGGAGCCTTCCTGGAAGAGAAAGGGGAAGAGGAGAAGGGAGCGGGGAGGAAGGGAGGTGGCTGCCATCCTTAGCCGGCAACAATGAACTCGCAGCCCCCGGCAGGCTCAGGCCCAGCACATGACACACTTCCATCCTTTCCTTGTGAAAATCTGTTCATCTACGTCTGAGACCAATTTGCTTGAAACTACGGAATACCTGCCACATTGCTTCCTGGCACAGAAGTCCGATGTTTGCTGGGAGAAGTACAGGTGGCTACACACCTCTTGGTGTTGCAATATTTATATGTGTCATTCTGTGCCCCAAAGCAGCAGCAGCTTCAAATAAATGAGAGTTCTCAGATTGGCCTGAGTCCTCCTGGCCTGGAGACCGTGCAAGAGCCGGCCGCCTCTCTCCGGCAGCGAGCGGAGCCCATGCTCAACTTTTTCGACGACGCACTGGAATTCAGCGCCCAACGCTGATGCACCCCAGGCCATCTTGAGCCCTTGGTCTAAGTCACACTGAAGCCCAGACGTTGGTTCATGTGTTTGGGAACTGGGTCATGGGCACTCATGCCCACACTGGAGGGCAGCAGGCAGTTCGCAGCCCTGTAGGAGGAAGGAGCTGAGCTTCAGAGCAGCCAGTGCGGGCTGGGTCCTGGGCAAATGCAGCATGCAAGCCTCTTGGTGTTCTGAAGTCAGGCACGTAAGAAGAGTGTTTTGAAGTTGCTTCCTTTGTAAGGAGGGAGGAAGGGATTTAGCAGCTGCTGCTGATGCAACACTCAGGTCTTCTCAGCACTATGGGGGGACTCACATATCACTCGATTTTCTCATGAAATTATGTATCAAATTTTTTTGTTGATTTTTGAGCCAATTTTCCCTTTAAGTGGCTGACAACAGGCCGTCTATGTTCCCCTGCCACCCACGGCGTCCTGTGGGCTGCTGAGCGCTGTGAGGACCACCAGCCAGGGACACGGGTGTGGCACTCCCAATCCGCAGGTGGGGCAGAGGTGGCAGGTGTGCTGTATGTAAAGGCTCCTGCCAGGTCTGCACGTCTGCTCAGACAGCGGCAGTGTGGAAAGTCACTGGTACAGACACAGACAGGGCCTGCGTGTCCATGGGCTTCACGTCTTCCATGGCTGAAAGCTTCATTTTCACAAAAAGCACTGAGGGAGAAGAGGAGAAACGCCCCCCAACCTCATCGAGCCAGCTTTAGTACCTGGCGGGGTGGCCGCACTGCCCAGCGGTCTGGGCTTTCTCCATTTCTTCGGGGACTCCTGAAACCCGCCGGCCTTGCCCTCTGCAGGTGCCAGTTGGTGCCTCCGGTGTGTATGTTTCCCTCTCCCAGGCCTTGAGATCCTCCTGCCTGTGTGCTCCCAGCTCCAGGAAACTCCATGAGGAGGCCTTAAGCTAGGACAGGCTTCAGGAGGCCCAGGAAAGGAAATCAGCACAGATCAAGGGCTGTCAGAGTTCCCAGCATCTCGCCCCAGCTTGTCTGGCACCTGGCAGAAAAACTGAGAAGGGGCTGGGAAATTCTGGACCCCAAGCAGCTCCCACAGGGCTGGGACCAGCCCTTGTGGCCAAGGGGTTTAGAGCAATGCCTGCCCACTGCTGCTTTCAGGAGCAAGAGTAAATGAGGCTGGCTGATGATCTCCGAATCCCCCACCAAACACACTCTCTGTGCTTCTGAAATCCTTCAGCTACTTTCTCAACAGAAACAAGAGTACCTACAATGGCAGGAACAACAAGGCAGAACCTGCAAAACTGAAATTGAAAAACCGACTGTCCTTCCCCCATTCGCTGAGTGTTTTCTCCAGGCAGGTGCAAAACCTCCATGTGTCCAGTTGGCCTCCACTGTGGACCCTCAGGGTCCAGTCGCTGGCGTCCAACTCCACATCTCCAGGGCCACCTAGACCACGGGAGGGCACTGGTGCTGGAGAGAAAGGCGATGTCTCTGATGGCTTCCTTGGCTTCCTGTGTGGCCCCTGAGCTGGGCTGCTGGAAGGACAGATGTGATGAAGAGGTGGTGATGCGCGTGCGGTGAACACACGCAGACCAGAGGCCACCTCCTCCATCCGCCCAGGTGAGGAGATCCCTGACACCACCCATGTACAGCTGGTGCAGAGACAACATAACGTCTCTTCTCGAGAGGTTTCTGCAGCCCCCATGAACCTGCCATCATGCGTGCATACCCCAGGCCATTTGAAATCATCAAAGCCGTAAGACAAACAGGCTCCTGTG